AAAGCTTAACTCAAATACACATTTTACCTGTTATTAAAATTTACAAATAGTTTGTGTCACATTGGAGACGGAAACTTGGTGCAAAACGTCTGGAGACGACCGGTCGAAGAGTCCTCAGAAACACACTCCGAGTTCACTCTCTATAAAACGTGGAAATTACACAAGATGGAATGTACTTACTAGTGATACCAATCGGAACTTGGATCTTCGGAATTCCGTTTTAGTCCAATGTCCAATTTGGAATTTGGCCGGACAAAGGCAGCAGCCCTTAGACAGCATTGGACAATCACTTGCAGCACCTCAACATCTTTATAAAGTAACCGTTAGATAAAACACATATTTGTAGTAACGTAAGCAGTGTTGAGTGTGAATTATTGCATTGCTTTCGGACATATTTGGACAAATGGCTGGCTTGGACATTTTTGGACGGACAGTCGACGAAAATACCGGACATGGACGGACCATAGACTGACATTGGACATACGTGTTCTGAAACTGGTACCACTAGTATACTTACTGAAGGAGTTAAACTTGCACCACTTACATCGTTGTTTAGTTGCGTAACCCTACTACTAACCACGATTCCTGAACATACCATGACGTCACGCAATCGTCGAAATTTACCCTCGTTATTCAGAATGAATGTGTAAATTGCATGCCTACTCAGGGCAGCTTCCGTGTTATGATTTTCACTATCGCTTTCACACCTTTTACCTCTCGCTCTCAAAATGGCGAATAGCCCTGCTCCTGATGCAATAAGTTACACTCTGAGTTGTTCCCTAAAATATCAGCCAGGTCTCACATTAATACCAATCACCTGAATTGAAATCTCACCAAACATTATTTCCATGCATTATACGGACTCCGTATAAAATGTTTTGCTGACTGTTAGCTCTGAACAACACAATATAAGTTTAAAGTTCCGTGTTTCACTGAACATGTGCAAAAACAAATCTGAAGATCGTACCTAGCCATTTGCAAATTGAATCTTATTGCTCGACTCCTGTAAATCAATCTCTATATACATATGAAACTTTGTATCTAAGCCAATGAGATCCCTCAACATAGGCCTCATATCACTGTAAAGCTACTGCTGCATGTATAGGTGCAGAGGAGATGATCTGCCGTTTCGATTTCCAGGGCCCGCCCCAGTAGTGTGAGAAAGGTGCCCACCTCCGCACCACCGCACAAAGCGGTGGTGAGAGTCCGTTTCGAGACGCTTCAACGCTCCCTATTTGCTTCCAATTAGGATGGTCTACAGTCAGCGACCGTGGTCACGATATAAGGCAGGCTACTCTCGCCAGCAGCCAGGTCAATTGATTTCCCACATTCGATCACAAGAGGGATTTTAGAAGGGAACAGAGAAAAGGAGGGAGAGAGAGCGAGAGAGGAGAGAGCAGAGAAGAGAGAGAGGGAGAGAGAGAGAGAGAAAAAGAGAGAGAAAGAGAGAGATAGAGAGAGATGGAGAGAGAGAGAGAGAGAGAAAGAGAGAGAGAAAGAAAGAGAGAGAGAGAGAGAGAGAGAGAGAGAGAGAGAGAGAGAGAGAGAGAGAGAGAGAGAGAGAGAGAGAGAGAGAGAGAGAGAGAGAGAGAGAGAGAGAGAGAAAGAAAAAAGAATGAAAAATAGATCAATGGAGTAGCACACGTGAGATGAGTGCCCTGAAGGTGAGGGTGAGGACGGAATGGTGACTTTCATGGCCCCGTGCCTGCCGTTCTGGCTCCGCCGTGAGAGTGAAATCTCGGCAGTCACGGTTCGGTGCTCGCACATGGGGCCACTGCACAGACGCTGCCACGGCACGGTTCGGCTCAGGGGAGCCCGTCCGCCCCGCCCTTCTCCGCCGCAGGCCGCAGGCCAGGGGAGGTTTCACCAGTGCAGCCGACTGCTCCGACCTGCACCCTGTCTCGGCAGGGTGGCGACCCATGACCGACCTCAGGCAACGGTGGGTCGATCCGGCAACCAGTACCTGCCAGCTGATACACCTGTAACTGTATAAACCGAGTTATTCATCAACACCGTACTGATGATATACCTACTATGTGACGTTACCGGTTACACTCATATTTAGCATACAAGGAACGAGTTCGACCTATTGCTGTAACCGTCGTGCGTCAATTTAACCATGGGACAAACTCATAAACCACAGCGTTTAACCGCTTTCAATAATTAGCTCACAAAATTTCCAAGCGCCTGGTGGTGCATCCATGCAATATCCATGGTGGTGCAGAAAGTTATTGCTTCTTTTCAATTGTCTCGGAAACAATAGATCGTAGAAATATAAGCTATGGTGCGTTGAAACCGTCGGTCCTTCGCACACATTCCATGGAAATTTCATCGTTTTCGCCGCTCTGAGTTATGTAAGCTGAGTTACGAGTGTAAACAGTGAGGACGGTGCTGAATTGCCACAGCTGATTAGACCGCCGTTCTGCCACATATCGAATGCAACAACGTGCTGTAGCCGACTTTTCGACGGCAATAAAGTAAAAAAAGAAAAGATAAACAAGTCAAGAAAGTCAGTTTGATCAGTCAAAGCAACCATGTAAGAGGATTTTGCATTCACTGATACCAACAGCGTTAATGTAACAACGTCGATACCGCCAATCAATTCACTATTTATCAATATTCAGCATGCCAGAAGCACTTCATGTCAGCGCAAACGTACGTGAGGCGGCCGGGAAGTTGGCGGAAGCCGTCGCTCCCCTCATACCTGCTCCTACCTGCTCTTGTACCTGCTCCAAGTGTGTTACATTTGTTTCAAACTCAACCAACGTCTCCATGGGGCGTCAAACTCTCCCAGACGAAAAACGAGCTGTGTAGGTACGCGTGGCGCTGGCATCAGTGATGACAGTGGCTTTCTTCGGCGACCATCTCAGAAGAAAAGATCGACGTTGGCGATTGGTAGACGTCTTTGAATTACATTGGTGACTTTGTGGGGTAAAATTATGCTCATCTGATGGACAAATGCTCAAAATATCCCGCACCTTTGTTTCATTTTGATACCCTCAGCCGTTTTCGAGTTATGGGAAATTAGGCTAACTTTTCTCATCTGTAGTTATACCTGATGAGATAGTCAAGCTATACGAGTACCTATATTGCTCTGTCTTTCGCCATTGGTCGTGAGCTCGTGCCTCTTATACCATGCAGACCCTATTTATTCAGCAGTTGTTCTTTGCAGCGCGAAGGCATCGTAGTAATCGTGGTTGATATGCACATTACCATCGGAAAACGTGCATACCACTCCCTTGACTAAGGTACGTACCTTGAACTCGTACTTAGCATTTTTGAAGGTCAATGGGGTGAAGCGTGTCCAATGCACTGTCCCCAATAGATTGAATGTGACGTAGCACGTGTTCGCTCATTAGAGACATATTTTCAAGTCATCAGGTCAGGTCAAGCAAATCTAAAAGAAATGTTTTGGTACTGCATGTGCTGAAAAAGGGATTTGAGCTTTTCAGCAGCCGATAAACGACAGAGGATGTACCAAAAGCACACCAATGATCTTAGCTTAGATCAAGATCAGCATTTCAACCGTCTCATAAAACGGGCACGTGTTTTAATTCTCTGTTTATGTGTACTTGATGTTAGATGCATATCGTACCATCCAGTAGGTATATCCGTGGCTCTAAAACAGCCTACCGTACATATATGTATGTACGGTCTACCTACCAAGAGAGCGCATTGATGAAAGTTCATTGACACGAAACTCGCTCAAATTCTTCACGAGATGTTGAATGTCTCAATCACCATGCTTAGATTCCAATTTTGAGTGCCTGCTGATCTTTGAACATGCACGTGGGATTCCATAATTGATCCCATTTGATCGGTCTTCAACGTCAAGAAACTTTAAACGGTTCCGACCCACCCATGCCCCAAGATAAATAAGTGGTGTGTTAACCCGCGCGGGGCTGGGGGGGGGGGAATTTTTACCCCCCTCTGTGCACCTACATACCAATTTTTAGAAAAATCGGTTCAAAAATGTGGGAGTTATTCAAAATTTTATGACGTCACGACACACAAAATTTTTGAAAAATGATTTCTTTGGAAGTTCTAGACTTCGTACAGAAACAAAAATAGCACCATTCGATTCGCCGTGAAAAACTGCATCAGATAGACACCTTTTTAGGCCTTAACAACCAACTTCAAAATTTGACCTCACTTGACCTGACCTTGACCTGACCTCGACCTGAAATTCATCCAGAGGTGGTCCATATCACTTATTGAGTGTGCCTATTGAATTCTATGAGTAAAATGACCCATAAATCATGTGTCGCACATGCCCCTTTTCTATATTTTGTTTTTGGTGACCTGACCTGACCTGACCTGACCTTGACCTTGACCTCTGAATGATATTGTATGCAACGAATATTGTCTTGGTAGCATAAGAACACGTTTTGGGCAATCAGTCTCAGTCCATGACTCCATTCTTCGGCAACTACGGTGCAAGGCCGATACTGTAGGAACTTGGAATTTGTACCCTTCACCTGACCTTGACCTTGACCTCAAACTTTAAATTAAGTACATGTTTTTAGTTGTTCGTGATGAGATCTTTCGATTGGCGTTTGAATTTTCCAAATCGGACCATTAGTTCGGGAGATAACAGGGGGGGGGGGGTAAAATTTACCCCCCCCCCCCAGCCCCGCGCGTTCGGCTGGAGACCCCAGCCCCGCGCGGGTTAATACGTGAGCACTACGCAAGTTCAAAATAAACATCCACTAACTTGTGCGGTTCTCTCATCTATAGTGTGGCTCAAAACCGTACACATTAAGCGTAATCCGTTGAGCCCTTTTTGCAAGGGTAGAAGAGGGCCAATTTGTTATGCATACGCATAAGAAAAATGATGTTCCAGCTGGCAACAACCGTTGACTTGAGTTTAAATCGAATTTGACTTTTCTGAAGCAAACGCACGTTTCTTTATAGGTGATTTGTTTTCATCGTGCATAGATAACATGGTAGTTCATGTTATCTATGCATCGTGCAATAATAAATGGGCTGCAACAACCAGATCTCACTGGACATGTCGTTTTATTGCACATTCAATACACATTTCAATTGAAAGACGGCTGCACTGCCGGACACATAACAGCAAACAGACGCCTGTGGCAGCGGCTCATCGTTCTCAACAAAGGCCAGCTCGGTGGCGGTGCTGCACAACTCTGCAGATCGGTGGTCGGGCTGTCGATTCGGTGATGTGATAACGACTCGCCTCGGTCGTTTTGATATGTTCTGCCTTGGGCGATATGATGATGACCTGCCTCGGGCGATACAGTGACCTATAGGTCACGCTGGCGTCTCAGCCGGCTGGCGGTGGCTCGTTGCGGAGGTCAGGTGATGTGTTTAGCGGTGGTACTTGTCGTACGAGTACACCGGGTAGTCGGCATACCAGCCGAAGGCGCCGTACCCGCCCGTGTACGCGCCGTAGTCGACCTGGTCGCCGTAGCCGCCCGGGTGGCCCGCCTGACGCGCCGGCCTGCCGACAGGTCACAGAAGGTCAGCGTCACAGCTGTGACATCGTTACAGAGAGAAGCCAGTCACACCTAGTCATCAAATGGCTTCGTTGTTACGCCCACATATGCACACCAGAAATGAATATGGGGTGCAGCTGCATCTGTCAGTGATGAATGATTTTATTGACACAGTTTGCCAACTATTGACCCTTCTGACTCAGCTCTTTATACGGCTGGTCTGTCTCATTTTCTCTATTCTGTGTGAGTCATGCACGAAATATCACGCTGACCGATGCATGTGGGAGGGCGATCGATTTCCCGTGAAAGTGAGCTCCGCAAAGCGGGCCGTCCACTGCACCTTTGCGTATCTTTCCTGTTAGCTGGCTGATTTGTGGGGCCTATCGGGGCTTTACCTCAACTGAAACACGTCAAACCTAACCTGTCTAACCCGAATCTCAATAACATCATCAATCCCGGATAAAATCAGTTGTAACTGCAGCTACAAGATCATGCAAGCATTTACATGGGTGATGGCGCTAGTTCGAGACGCCCTCGGCAGCCCCAAATCAGTTGGCACCTCCAGACTCTCCCTGCACCTCCCTGCACTTCCTCGGCACCCATCCTGTCTCTATCGGACCCACCCACCTCAGCTCAGAAGGCTCCGGCTGGTAGACGTCCCTGTCGTACTGCTGCGCGGCGCGAGCCACCCTCAGTCGCGGAGGAGCGTAGGGCAGCTCCTCCATAGGAACCAGGGCGTAGCGTGGCATGGCGGTGGCCACCGCGGCCAGAGCGGCCAGGACAAACTGGAAGGGCCGCCGTGGGTGTCAGTGCACGCGAAAGCGGGAAGCTGGGAGCACAGATAAATGAAAATCAGAGAGGTCAGCAAAAGCGGCAGCGGATGGCCGTGACATCCAACTGATCGAACGTTTCCGAATGTTATTTTTTCTGAGACGTTATATTTTTACAAGTAAAAAGGCGCTTTATTATTGTCACAAGCTTTGCGCAGCAGCTGATGCATAGCACGGTGGTCATGGAGTGACCCATAAGATGTACGTAAACACCAAATACCACTGGAAAGTCACAAAGCAGAGAAGAGAAGCAGTCAGAGAAGCTGCTGCCTTTCCTAAAACTCACCAGACAGGCCTTCATCTTCGAGCGGAGAGGAGATACTGAGCTGCCGAGCAGAGCCGACCGCAGGCTTTATACGGCTCGCCTGCACCTCCAGCGGAAAACGATATCTACTCGACGGTAGCTCGAGCGTGGAGAGAAAACCGCCCGCCTCCGCTGCCAATCGCTGCCAATCGCTGTCACTGGCACAATGAGAGAGCTACTGCACTGGCAGCTCAACCACCACTGCCAATCGCTGCCACTAGCACTGTGATAGGTATACTGCTGGCAGCCCCTGCCAATCGCCGCCACTGGCACTGTCAGAGAGCTACTGCTGACAGCTCGGCCGCCGCTGACCGGGAAGGAGTGGTGGTCAGTGGTCTCCATCTGCTTTGCATAGCCTGTCTGACTCGGTCACCGCCAATGTCAATGGCATTGGTCGTCAGCTTGTCTTGAGAGGTCCGGCGTGCAAACTGCAAAACAATGAGGCAAGAGGCATGCAAGTTTCATATATGACTGTTTATTTCGCTGCTACCTCATAATAATTTTAACACCCTTGGACCAGCTAAGTGACCTGATAGGCTTCGAACTGGCCTTCATATCTTATTGTGGCCTTATTTAGCAGTGAAAGGAGACAAAAGAAAGGAAACCAAAACTTTTAATTAAGACCGGGACAAAATGCTTATAGATTAGTGCCCAAAAACTGCTGTTTAGCAAAAACAAAATGGATCGATTGTTGGCATGCCAACATTTGGCATGCCAACGTTTGGCATGTTGGCATGCCAAACGTTTGTGCACAAACGTTTCCAATTTTACAACTTCGCAGCGAGAAGACGATCGCTCAGGATGGAAGTGGGGACATCGCCCACGGTGGAGCTCGCCGAGGATACGCTCTAGTGCCCAAGTGCCCATGCTCGGTCATTCGTTGAGAGAATGTGAGCCGAGAAACCGGGCCACCAGCGGCAGAGACTAAAACTACAGTTGTCATGTACCGCCGCTGCGTCGCTGCTGCTGCTGCCCTTTAATGTGCCCCGACTCTCGCCGCAGTTTAGCGAGCGTATGCATATGAAAAGAATAACACGGTGGGAGTGGCGCATCCGTCCTCGCCTCACTCAGGACGAACCCATTCGTATCCCCTCACGCTTTTTCCAGACTGGTGGAGTCACGCCCATGCCCCACCACCAGACAACACAACCGGCGGTGACGGCTAGTCCTTGTTTGGACTACAATCCCTCCGGGGTGACCGTTTGAGCGGCAGGACGGGCTGTCCCATTGCGGGACGGTCTTTACTGCTGCTGCACACCGTCTCGATGGTCCACACTCCACACAGTCCAATGTCTACGCCCTATCCAACCATTCCAGCAATCTTTTTTGATGTTCGGCTCAAAAATGTACTAGTTTCCGAAAATTCTGAGATAGTCATTTTATAGAGCGTTCTAATTGGCACATTTCAAGGGTTTTATTTGCAATGAGAGGGGGTTGACACTTGACCAGTAATAATTATCCCAGTCGACTCCTCGCAATAACACGATTATCATCGAGATCGTGATGTATTGATAACCAGCAAAGAGCACTGAACGCTGATAGAATAGCTTATGCCGTAAGCGTGTCAAACAGCGATTCAGAAAACAGCGACTTAAAGCAGCGACAGAAAAATAGCGGCTTAGGTACTCATAACAGCGTCCGCGTCCACGTGTAGAGCGACCGTGAGAACCGCGACTCACATGTTTGAGCGATTATTTAATCGGTGTAGCTATAGCCCGCGAGTTGCTGGGGGGGGGGGGGGAGCGTTAAACGCCCCCACTTTTTTCGCCGGGCCATAGCATAAAAACGGCGCGCCGCAGGCACGCCAAATTTTAAGTACCTGTAGGGAATTGATTGAATTTTATTGTGACAAAGTTTCAAAAAATTCGGTCGGAAATGATTGAGATATCGAGGTTTTAGTGACGTCATGATTTCTGAGTTTTCGACCAAATTCGGCATATGTTCAAAAATTGTTCAATTATTGATTATCGTTCCGCATTTTCCAAAATCTTGAAATGAATCTTGGTAATTTCTCGTGACTACTTCACGACCATGATACATGCCTTTCTTAAATTGAACTTTTTGAGTCAAACAAGTACACATATGATAAAATGACTGTAACCATCGTGTTCTACGCCCCAAATTACCCATAAAACATGTGTCACAGGCTACGAATATCAGTTTCGATTTTCGGGGATATGTGCCTACCCGGTTGACCTGACCTTGACCCTGACCTATGCTTGACTGACCCCATTCATGGAGCTGACACTCTTGTAGGCCTTATATGATGGATTGTGCACCGTTTTGACAGAGTTTATGACGAGAGGCGCCCATTGCGAAGTCCTGAAGTTCATGCTACTGAAAGCCCGATTTCAGGTGTTTGACCTGACCTTCACCCGACCTGTGACCTCAAAATTCAACTTTAAAGTACTCATCTGAAGCGTCTCGTCGCGTTCTTTCGTTTGCCGCCTCGTGCGTTTCGCTGCGCCTATTGGTGGCTCTCGAGTTATCGGCTGGGGGCGTTTAACCCGCGTCCCACTGGGGGGGCTATTTATAGCCCCCCTCCCGTTTTTCTGCAATAACTTCCAAACCGCTTGATGTATCGACGCCAAACTTTCAGTACCTTCGGCTGCATCAATTTGACACCTTGTGTCAAAAATTGAACTTCGTAACTACCGTAGGTCGACCGGAAATGACGTCAGAGTGACGTCATGTTCGGCCGATTTCGACGCAAAACATTGAACCACGGCAATCGCTCCCAAGAGCTCAGTTTTTAAGCTAAATCCAATTTCTTTGCATGAGAGGACTCAGAATATAGACTGCGCTATCAAACTGCTATCTCGGATTTTCGAAATTTTGAAAATTTCGAAAATTTTATATAATAAAATTCAAAATTTATATTTTTACATTTTTTTCAATTTTTTTTTTTACTTTTCGAAAAGACCGGAATATATGTGATAGAACGCATTATTATGACTAACTCTAGCAAGTTTTAGCAAAATATCTTCAAAAATGGCCAAGTTATACGCATTATTGCAAAAAAACTAACAATTATTAATTTTTCAAATCAATTTTTCAGCACGAATTTGACATCGTACGCCAATATGAATAGCCCCATCGTGTTCCTGAGCTCAAACTGCATCCAATAGACACCTTTTTTGTTGAAAAATTTTTACTTCAAAATTTGACCTTTTGTTGACCTGAAAGTGACCTGACCTAAGCTAAATTTGACTCAAAATGACCTCGAATGACACAGACGACATCAAATTCGAAATGTTTGGCCTAAATGGACCATAAAACATGTGTCACGTGACCGACGGATGATATAATATTTTCATGACCTGTGATGACCTGACCTTGACCTGAAAATCAAAGAACAAGTTTGGTACCCTCAGAGTATCTAGAGCATCTGTTCACGAGTGTGTGAACCAAAAATGAGCCTGATCTGACTTGTAAGACGGCGGCCAGAGCCCAAAACGTGAAGAAGCCAAAATGCTAATAATGTTTACTTTGACCTGACCTGTGACGTCATAGGTGACCTCGAGGTCAATGAAATTAGGCTTCGTTCGACAGTTTTTCCGGGGCTATCAGACGCCGTTTGAATTTTGACGATCGGCCCAGTAGTTTCGGAGTTAGGAGGGGGGCTATGAATAGCCCTCCCCCCAGTAGGGCGTGTTATACGCAGACCCCAGTGCACACTGGGCCGGGGGCCCGGAAAAGTGCTAGAAATTATTTGTGATTGAGTTGTTGATCTCAGCGACAAGCAAACATGCTAAAAACGAAGTGGGGCTGCTTAACCCGCGCCCTGCTGGGGGTCCTGGATTTCCACGCCCTGCTGGGGGGGGGGGTGTTTGAACACCCCCCCTTGTAACTCGGCTCCTGGGCCACGTAGCGATACGCAGAAGGCGGCGTTCGAAAGAGCGTAGAAAATAATGACGAAATCACTTCGGTCAATTTTTGGTCAGGTCAAAGGTCAGGTCACCAGAGGTCATTGAAGGCAAAATTTCGCCGATTTCCAGGTCGAATGTCGAAATTTTCCAAGAAGCCAACGCATAACTCGGGAACCAATAGAGCTACAGCGCCGCGGAAAAGCGCATTCGATAGCCCTATTAACGCCCTTTCTGACTAATTCTCTCAGATTTGACCTAACGTCAACGGTTTTGCCTGCAGGGGGCAAAAACTGCAAAAATAGCCGATTTTTTTTTGAAACAGTTTTTCTGCAATAACTTTTGACCCAAGCCTTGTACGAGCTTACTTTTACCGGCATCGTGTTCCTCTCGTCAAGACGCATCGAATGAACTATGACTTGACCTTGAAAGGTCAACTTGAAAATTTGACCTCATGTCAAGGTCATGACCTGACCGGAAAGGGTCATGTTGCATATCAGTCGATCCGTATCGTCGAGCTGAACACATCTAAGGCGTTTTCATCGCTCTAGCATGCCTCTATCAAAAGTTATTTGCGAAAAACTGTTAGATACCATTCGTGACCTAAGATGACCTCAGGGCATAAACAAGGGTCACGGACACCATTTTCAAGTTCAGTGTGTCTAAACCACTTGTAATTCGGTGTTTGGGAGTGTTTATAATGTCTTTCATCCAAAAGAGGCGCATTTCAATTTTCTCCCATTGACTTATAATGGGGAGGTCGCAAAATTGACCTGACCTTAGGTCATCGATATCAAAATTCTGAGATATACATTTTGTACATGCTATTGCTCTTAGCAATCGCTGAAAGTTTCAAAGCGATCGGTCACTCAGTGTAGCTATGACAGACATTGAAAGTTTTTATGAGGTGAGGTCACTTCAAGTGACCTGGTGACCTGACCTTGAATGACCTTGGCCTGAAATTTTCACAACATGTGTAGAATTGATGTATGATAAGGTGTACCAAAAACGGCGGCGCTCCGCGCCGCCGTTTTTGAGATATTCGCGAAAAACCACAAGGGGGGTGTTCAAACACCCCCCCCAGCAGGGCGCGGGTTAACCCTCGCCGGACCTATTGTCGGACCCCCCACCCCCTCGGCCGGCCGAGGGGGGAGGGTTGGTACGACCCCTTTTCGCCGTTTCGCCCCTAATGGAGCTAGAGTCTCGCGGAAAAAACAAGCGTGTGCGCCGTTTCAAGACGGAACGATTGATACCCGATTTTAAGGTCCCATGTCAACCGGTA